TTGTTTTTCAGCAAGTTTCGAGGTCACTAAAAAGCCGATTAGAGGTCAAGGTCAGGATCGGGGGCCACAGGCTTTTGTTTAACTTTCTTTGCAATACATATTATTGACTACCCAAAGTTACTATGACTAGATTTCATGCTCTTTTAGTGAGTAACAATAAGATGTCTTTTGTTCATCTCTAGCCCAAGGGAGCCACATTATCTCCAAGGGACCCTCAATGGATTGGGGCCTGGTGGTTAGGGTACGCCTTGTCTGCTGGTCTGATGATATTATTTGCAATTTTGATCCTTGGCTTTCCCCGCGAGTTACCCGGATCAAAAGAGAAGCGTGATCAAGCCATCAAAGAGGGGCACTTGCCGAAAACAGATCTCAAGTTGAGACGAAAATTGAAAGATATCTTACCAGCTACCGTGCAACTGATCACAAATCCAACGTACCTGTTTAACACCCTTGCCCTCACTGCAAGTTCACTCTTTGGTGGTGGAGTAGGTCCCTTCATTGCTAAGTTTGCTGAGACAAACTTTGGTGTCCACCCCGCCGTTGCTGGACTGACGCTTGGAACAGTCGGTATGGTTGGAGCTGCAGGTACGTGCAAATTTTGATGAATACACTGTGGAATCTCTATGCAGGAGACGCCCTAGCTCGGGACCAAGACAAGTGTCCCCTGAATACTTGTTAGAGGTGTCACCTGAATGGAAGTTGGGTTGGGGATTGTTAATAAATAATCAACAAATAAAATATATATTTTTTATTCTGCCTCGGAATCTGCTGCGGTCATTATTTCAAGCAACTAGGTAAACTTATGATTAACTTATCTCTGCCATATTGTGTGTCGAATTCCCACAAGTGTAGTACATCGATTTAAGTAAAATACTTGGAGTCGTGAAAGCTTTACTTTTCACTAGTTAACTCTGGACCAGAAGCGTTTAAAAGAGTGTGAAGGCTTTTGATGAACGGTCTACATTTGAGGTACCAACAATTTTTTTCCAAAAGAATCTAATCCATGATATTAGTTTGAAAAGTTACTTAATCCTGAAAGCAAAATGAAAAGAATCAGTGTCATAAAATAAGGTCCCGACGTCTTAAAAAGGGTAGCAAAATAAGCAGCTTTTGTCTTAGGTCTGGTTCATGCGCCGTTCTTAACTTTTCATGTGCCGAACCTAATTGAATATGTTCGACTTTGGAGCGACACTGGCGCGACATCTGATTCAGACGGCGTACCGTGTGTCGAGCCAAAGTTAAGTTCCACAAAAGCCGTTCGACAGACTCTGTCGAACCCTTGCCGCACTTAACTAAAACTGCCGTATTAAATTGATTCAGACACCGCTCTTTTGCCGATCATTTAATCGATCATTTACGGTAATTCATCATCAGTTAGGTTCGCCACATGAGTGGAGCGACGTCTGAACTCGGCCTTACACTGGCAGGGTCAGGGCTTGCAGGCCTCAGCGGAACACCTCTACCTAAACTTTGATTGAGTGTCCCCCGGGTGTCATATTTAGTCAACTCTCGCCTTGAGGACACCCCACTACAGTCAACTCCCTTTATAGCGGACACTGTAGAAACCTCGAGTTAGTTTCCTCATTCGCGAGAGTCCGTAATTTATTTTTGCCTGGGATTTTACTGCTGTCCATATTATAGGGGTGTCCGTTATAATGGGGTGTACGCAAGGCGAGAGGTGACTGTATAACGGACTCCTCGATAATTCGGACAGCATCAAATTCCCAGGCAAAAATTAATTGCAGACGTTTGACTGAAATAGACTCCCTCTAATGAGGACACTAGCTCGAGTCCCTACAGTATCCGCTGTAAAGTGAGTTGACTGTACAACTTTTCGATTTATTAGTAACAATCCGTGCTTTCGCTTTCCTGTAGGTGGTATAGTTTTAGGTGGTTTTTTGGTCAGGAGATTCAGTTTAAAGAAATCTTGCAGACTCTCTGCCAAGTGTTGCCTGATTATCCAGGTGCTTTCAGTTTGGACATCGACTGCTTTCCTTATTCCCGGATGCGATGACATAAATTTAGCTGGAGTAGTAAAACCTTATTACAAAAGGTATGAACTGTTTTAAACTAAGGTGGATTGTTTTTATTTAATAGACTATCAGAGAAAATAAAATGTAAGGAATATTCTGGCTGTTTTCAATTTTTTATTCCGGTTATTAGGGACAAACAATAATGGAGGGAAAGACATACGGTTGATAATGATAATGATAATAATAATGATGATGATTATGATGATGATGACGATGACGATGACGATGACGATGACGATGACGATGACGATGATGATGATGATGATGATAGTGAAGATGATGATGACACGATGTTGACAAAGATGATTATTATTATTGTCCCATTATGGCTCTTGATTATTGTTATTACTATGTATCTCAGCTTGTCGAAAACGTTTCATGCTTCCATAGCAACGTGTAATATATACAATCGAGCCTGTATAGCTATAGAGTGACCATGTGTCCCCTTTCACGAGCAGGTGGCCACTCAATAAACATTTGACTGTTTCACTTCCATGGCAGCTCTTTAATGGAAACGCGCAGCCCACTGGCTCCATGCAATATGAATTGCAGTTGTTCGTTGGCCAGCATGAATCCTGTTTGTGGACAGGACAAGCTGACGTACTTTTCGCCTTGTCATGCAGGATGCAAGCAAACTACAAAAACAAAGGTAAGCAAGGTGCATTGTTTGTAAAAAAAATTAACAACATAAAACAAGCATAAAGGTATTTCCCTGTGATGACCGAACTGACGTGGTTAATAAGTTATTTATCATATGGCCGTTTTGGCGTTATTCTTAAAACGAATACAATAAAAAAACTCGCCCTCGCTGTGACTCTCTTCGTCCCTCAAAGTAAAGAAGTATCGATGTGCTAGAATTTTTCTTTCAGTCATTGAAAGATAGTTATTCTTTGTCACGATATTTTTTGTTGCTTTCACCCTCGCGCTCGTAGCTTTTACTCAAAACTCAAAAGAGCCAAAGACCCGAGAAAATTTTTCAAAATGCCCGGTCATTTCAAGAGTGCGCTCACTATTGTCGCCATATAATATATTATAGTTCTGTTACGGACTTTCAAGTGTTACTAGGTCTCCGTGTTTTATTAGTGTGATATATTTTTTAGTGGTTATTTTTTTTTCTTTATTTCTTTTTGTGCTCACGGGCTCATAGCCAGTTGAGAACTATGTCAGAGCCTCTGTTAGTCCGTCCGTCCGTCCGTCCGTCCGTAAGGTCGTTTTGTTTTTGTAGCGCACGGCGTTATAACGCAAAAATTTTCGGACCTGAAAGTGCCTGGCTGGATAACTGTTAACGCCCCTTTTTTCAACAATTTAATAGTTTCTTTTTCCTCTTCTTCTTCTTCTTCTTCTTCTTCTTCTTCTTCTTCTTCTTCTTCTTCTTCTTTTTCAGCTCAACAATCAATTTAATGTATATTTTCTCATTTGTTTGCCAATTGTAATAGTCCTTGAACCATATCTGAAAAAGTTAAAACTTTGCTTGTAGCCGCTGAACGAAAAAGGCTTGTATCACGTTTTTGAAAAAGTGCACGCAATCTGCACCGCGAGTAGATTTGGAAGTAGCTAAACAACGCAATGCGACTGTCGTGATGAATGGTTTTTGATGGACATTCGGTTCGTTGTCACTTGTCGCGATGTGTCACGACATAGTATCTATCTGTTTTTGTTGTTGTTGTTGTTGTTTTTTTTTTCCCGACGAAATTAACATAAGACTCTTTTGTAAGCCCATCATTTTAATATCATAATAGATTTACATTTCAAAAATAATTCGAATGAAAGAAATAGATTTGTAAGAAGTTCGATGCTCGGTGGCGTCTTTTCTTTTCAAGGACTTTGCTAACTTCACGTGCTCTTTTTTTTCGCTTAAAACCAATATTCTTCAAAAACTTACTGACAATACCACACTTTTGCAGCACCCTTCCCCGCTAGCGATTGACCTGGAGGCTTGTCGGCACATACACACAACAGAAAGTTAGCTCAGGGCCTGAGCTTAACGATGAGACCGACCAAGATACTAAGCCCCTTGTTAAAAATTCGGTAATGCGAATATTCTAGGGCATTTTCCAGCATGTTTCCACAAATTCGGCTAGAAATAGATATTTATGAATAAATGAATAAATAAATTAAATGCTCCCTGAAACTGTTACCCTATTTAAGATCAAAATTGTAGCTTTTCCTACCTTATTACCCTACGCCTGAACCGCTGCTCTGAAGAACCGAATGATAGCAATTCCAGACCCTGGTATAAAAAAATACCGTGGGGATGGTAGAGGAATAACCATTCAAAAACATGGAAAGGTGCTTTCATTCTTGATTTTAGGCATTCAACTGTAGCTGCGTTGATCTTAGGGGAAACAACACTCAAACCAGTTCAGCAAAGAAAGGTTATTGCGACCGTGGATCTGGATGCAAGAATTACAAATACTTCCTTATGATCAATGTTTTGCTGCTTTCGGCGGTTTTCCTGATAGCGATACCAAACAAAACAGTGGTTCTACGGTAAGAAAGTATAGCATTACTAACGCTTATTCCGTCTCATCACCTTGCAGCACTTCCACTGATATAGACTGCCGCAGTAGCTGGCGGGTTTTTTTTAGTGTGAATTTCACTTATACGGGCGGGCGAGGTAAAAAGGGAAACCGATGGGGAGGGGGCCAGGGTAAGAGAGAGAAAATCCTTACTGCGTTCTCCCCTTACCCCCTCCCCATCGTTTTTTTCCAGGTTCGATCTTGGTTCAGCTTTCGAGCGGCTGTATCTCAGTCACTTCACGAACCTCAAAAGAAAACACAGAAAAGAAACTGCCAGCTACGCAGCCTACCACTGATATGACTCTCAACTGTGAAAGTAAAAGAACCCATTCTGCTGATTCACCCCGTGAGGGGGGGGGGGGGAGTTGCCATATTAAAGTAACGGCATATTGGCCATCTCGCTTAGGGGTAGAAATTGCAGATTTTGATCTCACTTAAGGAATTCAGGATGAAATGCCAATTTTTTGTATCGACAAAGGAATCTCTTTACGCTTTTATGTAAATAAATATCTATATGACAAAGAAACAAGTGCCAACGTATTAATTGTGTTAATGTGTGCCCAGATTTTTCTCCCTTGGAGGCCCTGGGTCTAGATTCTCCTTAATACAGACATCTCTTTCTTACGAACAGTGGCCTAGATTTGATTAATTGGCTGCGAACAGTTGAACATGTGATATAATGTTAGTTTATTTGGCGAAAAATATTACTGATATTATCAAATCACCATCTTTTCTTTTTTATCACAAAACAGCATGCTATCCACATGCATGATCCTATCAGTTTGCAGGACGCGTGACAAATATGCACCAATAAGGATAAGATCTTGGTTTCCCTCATTTTCCCTTGACTTTTCACTCTATGAGTCTAAGGTTCATATCCTGTTGGGGACTTCGCTATATGGGGAAAAAATAGCAAAAACGGAGTGAAGTAGCATAAAAAAAATCAGCGAGCGGAGAAAGCCGGGCGGTGGACTGGGAAGGGGTAGCCACCCTTTCTTTCCCTTTCTTAGCAAAGCGAGCCGAGCTGTGGTCTGGGGACTAGCCGATTTTTTTCGCGCCTTTTTCCTCAACTGCGGAGCCTGATCGTAGGCCAATCAAACCTTAACTTAAGGAAGTCCCGTGATGCTTAAACTGAAACTGAATGAAGCGCACCATTTAGCTGTAGAAGAGCTCCAAAGGGACACGTTCCTGATGCCTTGCGAGTAGTGGTTTCTACAGGCCGGACGCCAAGCGTAGCGTCCAGCCACTGCTCGCAGAGTACGTGGCTGATATCTACACGTACGTACATATTCAGTCGTTATTACTCCATAATCTAACTCAGTCAACATTTGCCTATACCTTATTTTATTTCATCAGGTGCGTACCAGACAATCACAGGTCTTACTCTCTCGGATTTCAATTCATCTTCCAGCGGTCGCTCGGGTTCGTACCAGGGCCCATCATTTTTGGATGGATGTTTGATTCGGGGTGTCTATTTTGGGGGGAAAGTTGCAACAGACGAGGCCGATGCCAAATATACAATATGTGGAGTATTGCCACGAAAATTACCATCTTTGGATTTGTAGTGAAAGGTAAATACCTGAAGTGAAGGATAGTCAGATGAGTCCGCTTTCTGATGAAATCAGCAATCCGCAAAATATTACAATACTCCGGCTCCGTTCTTTCAGGGTTGTTTCTATTATGACAATAACACTTACTAGAGTGGTTGGAAGATGATTACCTTAGTTTATAAATGATAATTAGTAACAAGTCACCCTTCTGAAGGTTTTTCGTTTTACTTCATTATGCATAACCAAACCTCGAACCTTTTGCCAATTACTCGCCCTCAGTCGCTATGGAACTTAAAGTATGCAAAGAAATGACATGCAAATGATAAAATCAGAGATCCGAGACAAACAAATATGTCTCCTGAGCATTATTTTTGAAGTTGCAAGCAGCAGGGATCAACTTTGAAAAACTGTTAGGCTGAACAGCTTTTTCAAAAACCCTACTGATTTCAATCCGTTTCAGTCTTCTTCAGTTTTGCCCATCCGTGGCATCTGTTGTTTCTGTTACGTTATTTTAACCTTCCTTTAAAGTTTTAAGCGGTTATTTATATGTTTCTCTTAATTTGATGGGCATTTTGTAATTTCCTAATTTGGCTGAGTTTCGTGATGTGAAAGTACTGCTGAAGATGTTTCATTTGAGTGCATGGTCACACTGGCATAGGATTTCATCCACAGACTCAAAAGTTAGAACTATACATACTAAATAAATATATAGTACCATGTGAACGTACTGCTAAAGAGTTTTTTATTTGAATCACAGACCATAGGATTTCATCCACAAACTCAAAGGCTTCAACCAGTTAACGAGACTTCATCATTCTTTCCAGGAGGCTTGGAGGATGTTATCCACCGAGGCAGAACTTCATCTGCATAATTCTTCATATCATACGGGGGCACCCAACGACAGTTTTTGGAAAATGTCTGTTCGGAAGACGATTTGAGATTTAGAATTTTCGGAACATTTGTTGTAAAATTTCTTGCTTGCCTGCCTCTCCTAGGATTTTCGAACATCTAAACAATGGTATAATTTCCCATTTCTAACGGATTTTTACCCTAAAAAGGTCACCTAGAAATTTCGGGAGCCTTTTTTCTGACTAAGGTAAGTTTTGATCCTTATAATTTTCGGATCACTAGACTTTCAGCTAGGAAATCTGAGCAGATGAGAAATTTTTAGGGGATAAAAATATGCCTATATCTGCCGTTTAAATACTAAAATACGTTCAACAATGCTATGTTTAAGTGGTTTTGAACTATATCCTCGTTGGGTGCCCCTGATCAGCCTTGTTCAATATAATTGTTAAATCTTGGTGTATACTGTGTCAAGGTCTCTTAATAGCTTTATTTCCTTTATTTTAATTACAGGTATCTCTATACTTCTTTACTTCCTTTCTTTCTGGTTTT